AGACAAAATAGCAATAATGAATCTTGTGCCCAACATTTTGCACGCCAAAAGATGGCATGAAATGTGCCTGCCGGACAGTCCATTTTCCCCCTGCTCTTCAAAAGCGTTGCCACAAATAGCGCTGCCTTTCCTTTCCGCCACTGCTTGGGGACTTAAATGTTGGGTGTCTTTAGGATCTAGCGTCACAAACATACTAAAAACTGCTTGTTGGATAGCTCGATTGGCGGGCGATTCAATGAATCGTTTCAACAACTTTTTCCTAGATAATTTGGTTAAGAATAGAGAATGTCGGACGTTGACAGAACTTATCGACGAGATTTTCGACGTAATTCCTCGCGCAGGACGCATTCTCATGTTGTCGAGGCAAACCCCTTGTTCTACTCCTACTCAATAATCCTAGGAGCGCGTGGATGGTTTTGCTTTGACAGTCACCGATGAACGTTGACCGATCGGCAACGAGTGTCAAACGGGTTTGGTTTGCGCGTACACTATAGACGGTGCTTGAAGAGAAGAATGAATGTAAAGGCATCAATTTACGGCAATAAAAAAGTCCTGCCAGTTTCTAAATGGTCCAGTAGTACGCATTAGCCAACACGCTAAAATAAGGAATATTGCGTCCGTTCTGAAATACTTCGTACTTTTAACACTCACAAGTCGATTAATAATACAACTACGGAGTGGAAAGCGAAGGAAACATTTTTGAACCTAGGAAAGCGGAAGATTTCGTTCAATAACTTTGGCTAATTGCTTTATGCACTGATAGAAATAGAAAGTTCCTGCACACCAAACCAAAATACCCATGCAGAGATGAAACCCTCTGAACGTTGTATCCTTGGATTAGGTGATTATCTAAGAAAGCAGAAGATAATGACTTTGGAAAAACGCCTTGAAATGTTATAACATAAACGGAAGAAGAATGATAATTTTTGTGCTGACCGCTCGCCGCACGAATACCTATATCTATTTTCGGAAATCAAAAATTCGTCCTCTTCTTCCCGTACTAACATATTGGTGTTTAATAGGTTAATCAACACCTAGGGGAACTCCTAACAATGGATTGGTCGGAACCACATTAGTAAGGTGTAGTTCACATTACAATGCACATATTTCAGTTAAATTCGGTGACTTTCAGCAGGAGACTGCTCGTGCCAAAGAGTCCAACGGTTTATGTGTTTTTCTGAAAAACGTTTCCATTGCAGAAGGGATAGCGCAAAAATAGCGAGTGGCTGTGTCCGGAGAGATTTTTACCCATTTACCTTGATCGTAAGGAGCGATAGAAGTGAACGGTTTCCATTTAAAGCCTCGGGCTACATTTCCATCGGAATCTAACAACTTACAAACCAAAAAAGTTGAGGTCGGATTTGATCTATGAGGGCCAGATGACGATTTCAGACTTACTCGACCCTGACATTAATCATGTTTTGTTTTCTGTGCAGAAAGCCTCTCCTTTGTCAAAATCCCCTTTACACATTATTGTCCCTCACGAAAGTGTTCGCTAAAACACGGGAACAGGAGTCAACTCAGGAAGAGAGACGGTCTTCAGCTAAATTTCTTAAAGGGTATTTCCTTTCTTTCTAACCCCAAAAGAAAGCTTAGTTATTATAGTTAACTTAGAACTTACCCCAACATCAACCCTATCTTAACCGCGTCTCTAGCTTCAAACTTAACCCGAGCCATAAGGCAAAAACTAAACTTCAATATTAGACAAATCTTCCTGAAATTGAGGACAAGACCATCTGTATAATGTGGACTTCATATAATATTTTAAAAATTAAACAAACGTTGAAGTGAGCAAGGTTTATGCTGAGATTGAAGGAACTGTATAAATGGAAGAAAGGAAAAATGAATGCCAGCAAAAGGCCAATTTTAAGTTAACTGGGTGGGATGTGAACGGACAGGCAAATGTTTTCGAAGCGGATATAAACAGTATTACGATCTAAATAACGAATGCTCCCTGAAATGATCTAACGGAAATAAATCATGCGCGTTGATATTTCCTGTAAATTTGAGATGACATATTGGCATTTCGAATGACAAATAAATTAAAATAAGTTCACTAACCACGACTCTTTCACCTATGCCGGCGAGGACAACACGGGCTGGGAAAATAAGACAAGCGTATACTCATGATTAGGGGAAAGAAGCTGTGTGCCGCGTGTGTGGATATGTTCAGCAGTATTTCACGGAAGATATCCAAGACTGGTTGTCGCAGTATTTTTTTTCTGTTACGGTTCTATGAACCTCAGGTGACTGCCGGACTTTGTAATCAAATAGTCGTATTTAGAGGGTTTATGTTAAAAACTGTTTCCCCAACAGCCGTTGCGGCACGTGTCACGACATGAAACATTAAATAATTCTGCAAGCACATGACCTATTAGGAAAAAATGTTCAAAGGTACAGTCAGATCTTAGAGCGAAAATGTTGGGCAGACTGAGTTCATCTCTTATTGCCCACTTACCATTAAGAAAAATAAGGCCAAATGGCTGAGCGAAGGTTTGGCGGTGCTGACTGATCTGTCATCCCACGGAATGTGCGCGCAGCATCGCTTTCAAAACTTCTTTTAACGAGTCGGACCTCCCACTAAGGGTCAGCTCGGTAGAAAATAGCTTCTTCTAGTCTGTACGCTCCTATCATTAGCATACATTTAAGAAACACATATGGTTACAGGCTGTATATAAAGTCATGGCGGCAATACAAAGCCTCTGCAATGATCTAATTGCGTCAGTTTGACTAGCTTACGTGATCATCAAACAAATAAAGATGCTGGGCTTTGTTAAAAACGGGAAAGGGAATAGTGGACGAAGGCCGCGAAACGGCTATATAGACTCTTCAAAACTAGATGTGGCTTACATCGTGGGAATTGATATCACTGGTAGACTAATTCAAACAATTTAAGCAAAATAGTATAGAACTCACATATATCAGGCGTCAAAGCCGAAATTATACAGTAAATATTGAAAACCCGAGTCTGTTTTGCAATTGAAGGAAATAAATTAATCCCTTTCAACTTCCTAAAAGCTCTTCACATGACACTGTATCATATAAGGATAAGCCAACTGAATCGTTTTCGCTCATGTGTTATCAGTCAAAGCTCCAATTGAGTGGTTTAGCATGGAGACAGTAACAGATATATTTCGACGGCTTGCCCTGAATCAGTTTCATTCATGTAAAAAGCTCCTAATAAATTTAAGAACGTGTCTTAAATTCAGTCCCGATAATGAATATTAAAAGTTATTCCCTGTGGCTTCAGGAGAAGTAGAGAAGATTATAAGCTTACAAAATTTCGGAAGCAATGATTACCTAACAAAATATTTACTGGGAAAAAGAACATCTCATAGTTCAAAACAAAACCGACCACAAACCACGACAAAATGCGAATGGTGAAACCCATAAGATGGTCAGCAAGATGCACGATAAACTTTCAAGTGAAACATGTAACTGGGGGAATGTTTCCGAAGAGCTTACCAGGGACTGAGCCTTAGTTTCTAAATAGTATTTAATAAACCATTTAAGCAAAATTCCCTTAAAGAACATAGTTTAAACAACGTTCATTAAGTTAAGACAGGTTCTGCGCAAATGAAATATTTCGTGGAAAGATTTGCAGCAAAATAATGCATTGTGGTTGCCTTACGGAGAATTACATTCTTGCAACTGGAAATGCGGAAGTGAAAGTCAGAAGCAGAGCTTTACATACCACGATAAATTTAAAAAAGAGTGATAATTTTACTAAGATATAGAGCACGTGACTCGACACACGAAAGGTCTCGGCTAGAATCTGAATTATTGTTACGGAATACCTCAATTACTTCCATTTCTGCCTTTAAAACACTGCAAGGCGCAACAGACCTTTTCTGAGAGAGAAACTGTTTAAACGCCGTTTGATTAAAGAAAAGCGGGATGGTGCTAAGTGAATGCCAGAATTCCCTTATATAGAGACGTATTCTATGTCGCTGAGTGTCACAGACTAAGGTCGCACCCTTGCGCGCGTCGTGCAATGGGGGGGGGAGGTATTACTGTAGGCATGGAAGCTCCGACAAAGTATCCTTCGGAAAAGGGAAAGAGGGACCTTTATCCTGTAGAGAGCAGGTGAGGCTAAATATGCAGAATCACTTTTTTTCAAAAAACACGGAGCAGATTCACGTTTAGAAAGGTTGAGTTGCAACTTGGCGTAACTCTGTGCCAAAAAATCCAGAACAATCTGACAATAATTTACTTAATCTCACTGGGAGGTCCGAGA